TGGGAAAATATAGGGAAGACAATTAAGAATGAAAGCATTTCTTGCTGATTGCCATCTGACATGTTAAGGACTAAAACAATAAAATTGTGGTTTTAGTTAAACTTCTAAATTGAGACCATAGACACAATTTGGGTATTTTTCACTTCAGTCCTATAAAAATGTGAAAATTATGATAAATGTTATATTTGTTCATCATTAAATTGCTATGAGGGACACATGAGCAGTAGGTAGATGTTTGTTTTATAGCAAGTTCTGTGTAAAATCCTTTTTAAACCATATAGGGAAGACAATTAAGAATGAAAGCATTTCTTGCTGATTGCCATCTGACATGTTAAGGACTAAAACAATAAAATTGTGGTTTTAGTTAAACTTCTAAATTGAGACCATAGACACAATTTGGGTGTTTTTCACTTCAGTCCTATAAAAATGTGAAAATTATGATAAATGTTATATTTGTTCATCATTAAATTGTTATGAGGGACACATGAGCAGTAGGTAGATGTTTGTTTTATAGCAAGTTCTGTGTAAAATCCTTTTTAAACCAATCCCATTTTGTCCATTACGGGGTTGAGAAAAAAAAAAAAAGTTTTGATATGTGTCTAATGATGTGGGGGATTTAAAAAATGAATCATATGTAGTTGAAAAAAATTTATATTCTAAGTTGAAATGTTACCGAATCCCAGGAATGACCCACATATAGATGCATGGAAGGAACGATGAAACAAATACTGAATTAATGAATATTGTCCCTTTCACTGTTTTCTGTCAAGTTTGACCAGAATTACTAGACAGACTATAGTTATGTCATAAAAAATGTACCCGACTGTTGTGACCAAGTAAAGCCAGTAAACATGGTAACTTGGATGATACACACAAGGACACGAAAGCATTTCTTGCTGATTACTATCTGACATGTTAAGGACTAAAACAAAATTGTTCTAAATTAAAAATACATTTTTTTTTTTTTTACAAAAATAAAGAGACCATAGACACACTGTATTTTTAGCGTCAGTCCTATAAAAATGTGAAAACTGAGATAAATATTACATTTGTTATCATTTGATTGTTATGAGGGACACATGAGCAGTAGGTAGATGTTTGTTTTATAGCAAGTTCTGTGTAAAATCCTTTTTAAACCAATCCCATTTTGTCCATTACGGGGTTGAGAAAAAAAAAAAAAGTTTTGATATGTGTCTAATGATGTGGGGGATTTAAAAAATTAATCATATGTAGTTGAAAAAAATTTATATTCTAAGTTGAAATGTTACCGAATCCCAGGAATGACCCACATATAGACGCATGGAAGGAACGATGAAACAAATACTGAATTAATGAATATTGTCCCTTTCACTGTTTTCTGTCAAGTTTGACCAGAATTACTAGACAGACTATAGTTATGTCATAAAAATGTACCCATAACAAAAAACCCATTGTTCTTTTAATAATGTGCTGAACTGTTGAGTTTTGGATGTTTTGGGGTCATTTTGATTTAATTGGTCATATTAAAGGCTATTTCTCCTTATTTCCTCATACACCTTCTGGGTGGAGCATACCGTTCAGCTTGGGGATGGTGAACAAGTATGTTGTCTCAGAAAAAAGAAAAAAAAATCATGACATACTTGACAATGCCTTCTACCATATAATATAGTTGATAAATCCAAAGGTACATACTGATTTAAACTTATGAAATCAGATTCCTTGCTTCCACTTCCACTTGTCAAGAGACATCTCTTCCTTCATCACTCTAGGGGCTGCTGTTATTTATTCACAGGGCCTGTCAGGAAAACGGAAAAATAAAAATGTGAGAATAAAACATGAAAATTTAAACGGGTGATTTTTTTCATTCTCTTTCATGAGAATGTCTATCCTTGAATTTTCTCTGCTTTCCAATTTTATGAGTCATTCTCTTTAATAACTGACTAACAATCATATATCAAAGAGTCGTCCTTGATCTGACAATCTTGAGAGAGAAATGTAAGAATAATAGACTCTTACTGCTATTTAATACTGCAGTTTAATTTAATATAATCATGCACTATTACTGTAGGCTATGTGTTAGAGTTAATTTTGCCTTAAAATATCTAATCTCTTTGTTGAAAGGAGTTCAGTTCCTTCAAATGTATGTAAAAGAAATGATTTTTGGCATTGCATAAGATGCACAAATCATTGCTCTCTTAATAGAGCAAAATAAACAAACAGGGTCATTAAGAAATATATAGACATACTTTGCTTATAGAATGTTTCTGATATCTCAATATCTCTGAGAGAATACGAATATATACGGCTAAAAAGTATAATTAAAGATATAAAATTAATATAAAAGAATACATATATAAAATTAAGTATATATACATATATTTTTGTTAGTTTTATTACCATTTTCATCATCTTGGTGTATTCTGTGTAGACAGTATCACACTGAATTGAATGGATTCTATTGTCTTTAGTCACGTCATGTCGCGCCGCTAATGTCCAGTGGAGACAAGGAGTTAGTCTGAAAATGACTCTGCCTAAAGTTTAAAGGTTCAGAACAATTAATCTAAGATGTTAATTTCTCCCATTAATTAGTAAAAATTAACATGACTCAAAATCCTTTCATCTCTTTCTTAAGAGGACAATTACTCACACTCCTCAGCTATGAGCTGTGGATGGGGTGGAGATGGAGATGTAGTATAAATATCCCGTCTGCTTTGGAGACAAACAACAGTACGAGCGACGAGCTGGTTAAAGCAGGACTTACTGTTCACTTGCTACAGCACTTCAAGTATTCGGTTCAGTTTCTCTTGAACAGACAAGGACTAAAACCATGTAAGTAATCATCTCAGACATTGTTTGAAACTTATTATGAATTGCTATTAGAAAGCTGACATCTAGAATTCATAGGCCACCAAGAGTTGTTTAAAAACCCGGATTGTTATTTCCAATGACTTTCCTTTTCTGGTATGATTATATAGTTTATATAGTTATATAGTTAAGAATTTTGGCCTTTTGGGAATAGCCTAATGTTGTCAAGAAACCAAACTTAAATGAAACTGGAGATCTGATTTCTAAGAGATTTCGTATTTATGAATTATTAACCATCTACTGACCAATTACAGATGACACTCATGTCTCTCACTTCTTTCTTTTTTGCCCAGCATGCCTTTTGTATACAACCCATACAAAAACCTCTGCACCGTTGGCCGTTTCCCAGCCATTAAACTGCAGGAGGATGGCTGCAGGAAAGCAGCATGCTCTACACCGGTTTACACCAACCCTTGTGTTAACCCATACGCAAACCCTTGTGTCAACCCTTGCTCTAAACCTTATGTAAACCCTTGGGCTAGCCCTTGCAATATCCCTTATGCTTACCCATATGTTAACCCTTGTGTTAACCCATGCGTCAACCCCTGTGTTAACCCATGTGTTAACCCTTGTGCTACTCCATACCCTAATCCTTGCGGTTTTGTCACTCCATGCCGTGATTATGAGACAAAGGAAGTCGTCGTCAAGGAATGCGTGGAGGATTGTACAAGCAAGCGAGTCTGTGGGGTCGAGGGTAAGGGACTTTGTCTTTTTTTTATCTTTGTCCTGCAATGCATGATGGGAATGATCCTTACTCGTGATAACTCAATAATTGATCTGTTTGATGATTATTTACCTGTTTTCTGCTTTTTCATTTTCTCAGATGCTGTCCTCCGGGTGAGTAAAGTAGACCTTCTCAAATGCAGGACCGGACAGAATCGTCAGGAGCATCACACACATTGTTTCCTTGATGATCATCTCATCGTCCGCAGAGGACAGTGTTTCAATATGTGGGTTGATCTGTGCCGTCCTTTCAATCCCAGTTGTGACAAGCTTCACCTGGAGCTCAAACTAGGTTAGTTATGACCAACAGCATGTGGAAACATGCCAAGAAATAACATGAGCTGAACTAACATTTTTACCATCATTGAAATCTTTTGTTCTTCTGTGTGTTTTACAGGTCACATCCCATCCATCCGGGACGGCACTTATGTGATCGTTCCAATAGTGGAAGAATTCAAGAAAGACTGCTGGGGGGCAAAGATTGCGGAACGAGGACAAAACCGAATCAAACTGTGTGTGCACTCTGTTCCGACTGCTTGCGTTGGACGATACCAGCTCAGTGTCGTGACACACTGTCCAGGAGGCAGATTCACTTTACCTTGTGTTCCTGAAAATGAAATTTACATGTTGTTCAACCCCTGGTGTAAAGGTAAAACCTAAATATGAAAATGTAATAGAATGAGTAAAGTGAGCACTATTGAAACTTAATGAAGCTTTTCCATTTTAAGTAAAAAATGTTTTGTTTATCAGATGACTGTGTGTATCTGAGTGATGAGGCGGAGAGAGCTGAGTATGTGCTGAATGACATGGGCAGAATCTATTATGGAACTAAGCAGCAGATTGGCTGCAGAACATGGAACTTTGGTCAAGTAAGAGCCAAAAATTTAATTAATATATTACAAAAGTTCAAGTTTAAGATATGTCAGAGATAAAGGCACCGCTATGGTTTCTGGCCACCCTAGACAGTTTTTCCTAACCTTCCCATATCTGAGATATAATTCCACAGAACAAGTGCATAAGATAGCATGAAGGTTGTTTAACAATATCTAATTTTCTTCATCTCTGATCTGCGATTCTTAGTTTGAGAAGGGAATCTTGTCTGCATGTATTTATGTGTTGGAGAAGAGCTGTAAACCTTGCTCAGGATGGGGAAACCCCATTAACATTTCCAGAGTGGTGTCTGACATGGTGAGTTTTCATTTACTTCTTATCAATACCCTGATTTCATGTTTGAAAGCCTGACACAATGGTCTAATTTGTTCTCTTCTGAATGCAGTACTTCTATAATATTTTCAATCATCTCTCCTTATCAGGTTATTGCCAACAAAGACTGTGGTGTGCTGGTGGGTAACTGGTCAAACTGCTATGGAGATGGAACCGCTCCGACATCCTGGTGCAGCAGCAGTGCCATCCTGAAACAATACCACAAATGTGGAGGAATACCGGTCAAATATGGACAGAGCTCGGCCTTTGCTGGAGTCACCAACACACGTAAGAGTTCTGCAGATTGGACAAGGAGAAAACATTTTGAGAAAGTGATTGTAGATATAATACACTTATATTCTTCTTCTCTTTCTCGTAGTGTTGAGGTGTTTGGGAATTCCTGCTCGTCCGGTCTCAAACTTCTGTTCTGCTCATGACACTGATGTGTCAATGACAGTGGACATTTATCTTGATGAGAACTATGATCTGATCGATAACCTGAACTGTGATTCAGTCTGGTAAGATTCTGTACAAACCTCTTTCATTATGTACTGTAACATCAGCATTAGTGTCCTATAGTCCTATTAGTGCTATAGTACCATGATGGGACAAGCACACAAATATAATTTCTTAAACTGCATATTATGAATATTTAAAAATATTTTTTGCCACTCCTGTTTCAAGTTTGGTGATAACTGCTTTGTTAACCACCACCTGTTGGTGAGAAAATGTATATGCACTGAATGTACATTTAATATTTTTTACAGTTTTGATCTAAACTATGCAGTGTTCCTGAAAAAGCACAATGTGATTGTAACAACGTTCGTAGTTCGGGAAGAAGGAGGCAGGAACCGGCGAATACTTAAGACTTTAATAAAATAGACAAACACAAAATTAAAGTAAAGCGGCAGCCCCTCGCGGACGACTGCCGCACACCAAACACAAAATAAAATCCAGGCCTGGTCCTCTCTCGTCTTTCACTGTCGTAACTCCTCCTTTTATACTTACGGAGCTCCTCCGTGGGACTCGAGACCGGTGAGTGGTGCAGGTGTCGCTCATCATCAATTACTCCACCGGCCTCGCTCCGTTCCCACGGCTCTCGGCCCCGCCCCCACTCGTCACAATGATGAATCTGCGTTGCAAAATTTTCTTGTATGCATTATTATAATGACTTCGGAAATCCTACTTTTCATTGCATTAGGTAGTTTAAGCAAATTTAAGTTTAAGTTTAAGCAGGCAGTAAGTTATCCAATGTACAGACATTGTTTCTCTGTCTCCTCTACTTTGAATCTATTCACAAAGATTGTGCTTCTTTCTTCTTCTCTTCCATGTAGGAACTACCATGTGTGGAATGAGGCCTGGATGACTCGGTCAGATCTGCCATCTGGTTTCGGAGGTTGGCAGGTGGTTGATTCCACTCCTCAGGAAACCAGCCAGGGCTTCTTCCGCTGCGGCCCCACCTCTGTTGCTGCGATCCGCTGTGGACAGACCTTCCTGAAGCATGATGTGCCCTTCCTTTTCGCTGAAGTGCTCAGAAAGACCTTCCTGAAGAAAGACCACACATGCATTGAGCTCAAGCCCTCTGAATGTGAGAAATTATAAAATCTGAAATCAAAGAGTTGCAATACATGAGACTACACAGTTGGTACAATGTAGCTTATGGGTAAAGAGACTTGAGTATTCATTCAACATTTGTCACTTTTCCCCACAATAGGCAGACCTCTGGAATGGACCCTGAGTTATGACGAGTATAAGGAACACCTGGTGGATCACGCCTCACTGATGCTCAACATCTTCGGACATGTGGCTCAGACTAAGCAGGTTTTGGCCACACAGTACAGCTTCAGACTGCGCACACCAGATCTTGTTATCGCTGCGAGTTCAAAGTTATGGTTCAACTGATACATCTTTTGATTGTTTGAAATCCTCTCATGCATTTCAACTGTGTCTTGTATGTGGTTCTTCTCAGCCTGTATGTGACGCTGTCGTGGGTCAAGAAGTGCCAGTCAAAATCACTTTCCAGAATCCACTGCCTTGTGTCCTGAGGAACACTGCATTCCGCTTTGTGGGACTTGGACTGCAGCATGCCAGAGTTGTTAACTATGGGTAAAATTAATTAAATAATTGTTTTAATTAAATAATAAAAGTTGCATTATTATGTTTAATTTTCACTTAATTGTATAAATTATGATTGCTAAACTCAAACAGGGATTATTTAATCAAAAAAAGTAAAATGTAATAATCACAGTAGTATTAAATAATCTTTCTTTCTTTCACAGTGACATTGCAGGGCATGCCACAGTGTGCCTGACGGAGAAGTTTATTCCCAAGTGTCACGGCCCACATAAACTTCTGGCATCATTTGATTGTCCTCAGCTCACTCAGGTGCATGGATTCGCCAACATTGTTGTCAAACAGCAGTGTTAAACCAAACAAATAACTAAAACAGAGGAGACATCATGGCTCCATTGAACAGAAAGTGTTCACATTGAATTGATTTGCAAAATAAGATAACTTTTAGTTTCTCTTAACCTACAAGCTGTAAACCTTAAACTTCTTATGGTGCATTTAGTCATGATGTAGGACAAGTGCACTTATGCTTTATGCAAGACACTGTTGTCTTTTCATCTTTTCTGATTTTTTTTTCTTTTCTTTTTTTTTTTTTGTAGTTTTTAGGAATTGCATTTCCGCCACCTACTGGAAAGGAGTGTGAAGCGCACAATGAATAGGAACTTGTGTAATTGAGCAGGATCTATAAAAAAAAAAAAAAAATTATTCCTCTTGTCATTTAAAATTAGTAATACATTCTTGTCTTATACACTTTCCAGAACCTAGAATTTTATATTCACATAAATCCAAACTTTTGCAGACTCCTCAAAACATTAATATAGACCAGGGCTGTCCAAACCAGGCCGGTGCCCTGCAGAGTTTAGCTCCAACTTGCCTCAACACACCTGACTGGAAGTTTCTATGCCTAGTAAGAGCTTGATTAGCTGGTTCAGGTGTGTTTAATTAGGGTTGGAGCTAAACTCTGCAGGACACCGACCCTCCAGGACCGAGTTTGGACAGCCCTGATATAGACCATTGCTTTGCTGGTATTAAAAGATAGCATAAAACATTTCAAGACAATTAAAGAATCTGAAAGATTGTGTACTTCAAGTCAGATGCATTTACATTGTGACTGTGCCTCAGATGCAATCAACTGAAACTCTGTTTACAAAAGTGTGACCCAAATGGCCCATATAATTAGCCCACTAGGTCAGCATTAGGTCGATGTATCATGGGCTCTCCATGGGAGAGGTATTATCAGGTCATGTGGTTACACTATCATTGGCTCTCCATGGGGTGTTTGTAAAGGTCTGGTCTCACAGACAGTACCTTGGGTTAAGATTGTTTGAAGGATGACATGCTAACATCGCTGCTGAAGAACTGCTACACTGCTACCTTCAATAAATTCTTCTGCCCACAAGAACTTTGGTCAAGCTTACTTATTTGATGTATTAGAGAAATCTAGTGCATTGGCGAGACACCCAAACTACTGCTCAGCAAATACTGCAAAATCTAACAATTTGGCGAGCCAGCCAGGAGAGACTGACAAGAAAACTCACCCACTGCAACAAGAAGTGAACTAAAGAGTCTTGGAGATTCTACAGTTTTTATGTTGAAGATCAACTGATTGCATCTGTGGACACAATTTATTTGAATCAACTGGATCATTTCTCAAAGATCCTAATTTAGTGAGTGAAACTTATCAGCTCTCTAAAAGAACTTAAAGAACACTTTTTCATAAGTAAGCAGATTAATCGATGCATGTAGTGTAGCCATAATAATCAGTGTAGCACTGTTTAAGAATTTTTGGCTTAGGCCTTTCTCTAGAGTCTGTAGGAAGTTTAGTTTGTTCTCCTGAGACTGTAGGAGCTATAGAAATAAGGTTTATAAGTTCAACTCTGACCTGCAATTTCGTATTACATGAAGGCTTGAGACCAATTTCTATTGGACCAAATTCTATTTCTATATTGACACATCATGACATGACCTCTCTCTACAGAAAATCAAAGATTGAGGAAGCGCTGATTTTAGTCATGTTGCATCATCCTGTTTTATATAATACATCTTTAAAAGATTACAAAAATCAAATAAAAAGAGAGGCTGCTTGGTACACAGTGTCATTGGAAACAGGAACCAGTAGTACATTTGAACATTAAAACATATAATTGATGGACACAGTTATTGAACCGAACTGAATCAACAGTGAACTGATTTCAAATGAATAATGACTGTTTACTATTGTCTTTTTAGAGCTGCTTTACAGAATGAATGAATTTTGTTTGCATCACTGAATCATTATTTTCTTGTTTATCACTGTAAAGCTGCTTTGAAACAATCTGCATGTTATGTGTATATATATATAGAGAAAAAGACAGTAAGAGAAGTGGAAGTGAAAGAGGGACAGAAGAAAATTGAAGTTTTTTTACATAATTACTTTTATTGAAGCATTTGTAGCAGAAAGACCCACATGTGGGAATTATTCACTTCAAGGAAAAGAACAGACCATCAGGCAGGGATCAAGCAACCAGTTTCTCAGAGCAGGAACAAGCAAACAGGTGCAGGATGGTTCCCTATTGTGATTTATTAAAAAATATTGTAATTTAATACTTTTTACATTTAACAGTCAAGCGTGTGCAGAGTGGCACACCAAGACAGTGGATTAACAGTATGACCATTTGTAAAGCTACTTTTAAACAATTTATATTGTGAAAAGAGCTATACAAATAAATTTGACTTGACAGGTACCTGAGAGCCAGGTCTCCAACACAAGCAGCCAGGTGCCAGCAGCACTAAAAAAAGAAAAACAAAATGTGCCATGGATGAGTGCCACAAATAGCTTTCTTAACCGCATTCGACCAGCAATCTCCCGTCTACCCAGTGAAACCAGGAGTTTGCTACAAATAAAAATAATGCAGTTGATAAATGAGGCTGAGTACAGTTCCCAGGCACCTGATCCTTGAAGTAATAGGTCTCCCAAATGATGTTGATTAATTTGTTTCTTCATCAAATCAGATTTGGAGGTCAGCACCAATGGTCTTGTGGGCAGCACGCCAACACGTAGCGCCGTCACCCTTGGGGCGTCCCAAATTCGAGTCCCGGCTCACTGACCTTTTCCGGTCCCATCCCCCTCACTCTCACCCACTTCACTTCCTGTCAACCTATAATATCCCATCTAAATAAAGGCATAAAACACCAAAAATAAATCTCCAATAAAATAAAATAGCATTACATCACTCGCTCACCAATGGATGTTCTGCAGTGAATGGGTGCTGTCAGAATGAGAGTCCAAACAGCTGATAAAAACATCACAATAATCCACAAGTAATGCACACCACTCCAGTCCATCAATGAATGTGCTCAGTTCACGCAAGTTTCACACTGTTGTTTAAAGTGACAGTTCACCCAAAAATGAAAATTACCCCATGATTTACTCACCTTCATGCCATCTTAGGTGTTTATGGCTTTCTTCTTTCAGATAAATACAATCAGAGTTATATAAAAAAATGTCCTGGCTCTTCCAAGCTTTATAATGGCACGTTCACTAGAGCAGAGGCATAGCAATAGGGCAGGCAAGGCAGGCAACTGACAGCTGACCATTTGAACAATCGGAAATGTCATTATTAATATAACATGGAGCAATAAATCTGCATCCCCCCTAGGGGGCCCCCTCTCGCGTTACTCTGGATGTGCTTGCTTTTTCCTCGTGATGCGTCGGCCGCCGTTTTCAAACCAAGCGGCAACCTCTCCCTCTCTCTCATGAAGCCAACAAGGAAGTGACTTAAACTGTA